GTCATCAATATGATGAAGCAAATTATCCAACATGGGCAATGTCATGTAAAATAAAAAAGGTATCACTGAAATAACTGAACATGCATGTGAGCACTTCATTCCCTTCATTAGGAAAGGGAAACAATAAGATGAGGGGGAGAAAAAGAGGAGGGGTTGGCTACCAGCCAGTGTTGAAGTCCAAACCTTATAGATGTCTTCTGGAGATTTAGGCTCCATAACCTCGATATCCCGAGCAAGGGTGAGATAACCTTCACTTAATTTGGTATTGTTGATGATATCCTGTAAACCCTCTCTGTCATCATCTTCTGCAACCATCTCATCATCAAGCTTAAAAGTAATCCCCTGCAAAAAAATAAATAAATAAATACATAAAACAAATGAATAACATAGAAAATGTCATGCACATCAAACACATGCACATTCACACTTGTACATACACCGACTAACAAGTCTAGAGAAATTTAAATCCATCAATATCCAATTTCGACCATGAGAAAATGAAAATTCAATTGTCCGTAATTAGAAGAAACTATTGACCATATGATGCACTTAGCAATAAATAGTTGAAATACTTTCCAGCACAAAGAATCTAGCCAAAGCAAACCTAGCACTTACATGTCGAGCTAGTATGTAGCAAAATTGCTTCTTCCTCAGCAGATTATCACAAGAAGTAAACACCTGTCTCACATGCTGCAAGAGCACATTCTAAATAGTTAAAACTAAGTAAATTCATAAATGAATTTCATACTGACATCCTGAAAAAGGAGTTTCTCAACAATGCTGCATGGCATGAAAGAAGAGGAAAATAATAGAAAACAAACCTGCATGTTGTCAAGGAAAAGTGCAATCTGAAGTGCATTTGCAAATTCCTCAAACTTAAGATATATTGTGTATGCAACATCCAAAACTAACATGTCATCTGGTCCAGGAAGGTATCTGCAAAAAATTGCAGCATGAAATGTCAAAACAGGGAGAGAGAGAGAGAGAGAGAGAGAGCAACATCATTTATCGTGGATAACACTACATCAGAGATCCAGTTGAAAATTTTCAGTTCAGCATTTAAAACTTAATAAATTTCACATATAATTGATTGGAGAATTCTCAATCAGAATTCACCAAAGAAGATATACATTAGGAGAACAACAAAAAACACTTTCTCTCAATTATTCATGGTAAACAAGTTGTTCAGAAGCATTAGTTTCCAGTTACCTAGCAGCACCGGTGAGGTATAGACAAGTTCTCCTGAAATTTGTAACATCAACATGCTCAACTAAAAGATCAAGATCTTCAACCTGCAGTGGGTTGCAAATCATATGTTTCAAGCTCAATAAAAACAGAAGGCAACTCAAATAGGAAACCTGAAAAAAGAAATTATGTTGTGTGGCACCTCCATCAAGAGATCAACAGCTTCAGGTTCAGCATTGTGCTGCACATAAAAGCACAAATACATAAGAAGCAGGAAAACGTGGCATATTCTGAACAGAATTTTCTTCTGCAATAAATCAATTGCTTGTTATATATAACAAGATATAAACCTTCATGTGAAAAGCAACAATTTGTTGCACAAGCTCCATTAGATCTTCAATTGGGGCCTCTTCACTCTGTATTGGCGGCAAAGAAAGTAAATACAATTGAAATCCAGATTCATGTCTCACTATTCAGGAAAACCATAAAGAGAGAATTGTTTTAAAGTGCATAACTCATTAAAACTTCTAGATATCTAAAGATTCCTTAGATTTCTAACCTGCCGCTTCATATACTCTTGTGCAACTTCTCCCGCCAAGTTCCTGACAATAAATTAACAAGTCAGAACACAAATTTCTTTTAGATTTCATTACCAACATGAGAAGAAAAAAATTCACATAGGTTATCCTTAGGTTAAAAATTCTAAGAAAAGAAAGTTGGAGCACCAAGACAGCAGTAGCAACCAATATACCAACAGATAAAACTTAAATCATGATCACAATCTGAAAACAAGTTCAGCTAGCACTGGTAATACAAAATTTCCAGGAAAAAAAATAAAACAGTATGTTATCAAGTCAGACAATGCTCACCTCACATACTCATGGCCCCACGAACCAATGTCGCCTTCTGAACCCAACAATCTATACTTTAAACTCTCCTGTAGGATTGTCAAATTGAAAGAATGATTGAATATCAAAATTAGAGTGCCATACAAGTGAGGAATGAGAAAGATAAAGCAAAACTTGTGCAATTCTCCAAGTATAATATTTGGGAAAAAAATGGAGAGCTACCCGCTCGCCCTCTTCAGACATGGTCAGTGCCAACACAGACAGGATATCAGCTAGGTATTTCTGCAAACAAGTGAAAGTAATTTAGTGATGCAGAACATATAGGAAAGAAAAGACATCAAGAAAATTCTTAAAACCAAGGGAAATTCTGGATTTATGAGAATATGGCTAATTAACCTGAAAGAATATAGGCATTTATAGGCTACTTCCTACACTTAGTTAATAAAAAAAAAACCTACTCAAAACAAATAACCTAAATACCCTAAAAATTTATTATAAATAATAATTCTGCCCATGACATATTAATTAAGAACAAAGTCCCAATTAAAAATTATGCTTCCATCTAAATCATCCTTCACTACATTGCTTAGCTCAAATAGATCACCCTTATAAAAGATGTAACGGGAGATAATTAACGCAAAACAAGTAATACCTTCAAATCTGATTCCAGCATTGTCTCATAAAAAGCCTTTAGGGTTCCATAATGAGGACGGAGAAACTTCAATGGCTTTGGAACAGAAGTCATGGAGCTTGTTGAAGTGCGGATTTCTTGCCTAAAAAGGATATAAAATTACACTGTAAAAAAATGATGCTTTATTCAGGCATTGCAACTAAACCCACCCATGGACGTTCCAGCTAACAGTAAAATCGACAAAAATAACATAATTTGATAAATTGACAGCGGCAATTTCACATTCGACCTGACCCATCAACTTGATAAGATGTTAATAAAACATACAAACATAAAATAAACACTCTTTCGAACTATAAAATAAGCTTCCTTTTTCTCTATTCTTAACTCAAATTCGCAAATAATTTGATTACCTCATGCTCTCAAGAACTACTTTCTGGAGTCCAGGATCAGGATCCTGAACTCTTTCAACATATAACTCCAGCTGTTGCTTCAAAGCCAAATCCTCTTCCGACTGCGTATGCCAAAAAACAAAGAACTACTTAAGTTATAAAAAATATCGATACAGTTAACTAAACCCTAATCTCCGAACTGCGACTCACCAGATCCTCCTCTTTTTTCTCATCTCTCTTCTTGGGGTCCTTGGGCGGAGGCTTCGTCTGGGAAGTTCCGGCGCCTCTTTTGGGATCCGACATCGCGCTTAGGGCAATGGGTTATCTGGCTTTACTTGGGAAATCTCTTCGGAGTCGTAAGCGTTTGAAGAAGAAAAGAAAAAGGAATGTTATTATACTAATTGAATTTCTCCCCAAGCAATCCATCATGGGTCTCCCTTTTAAACTGGTCCTCTCCTAACTGAAAACAGCAAACTGGGCCGAACCGGACTATACTATTCTGTCGTAAAATTCCGTAGGCCCACACGCCATTTTTTATTCCAGACGCTCACCAGGTATTTGCATGGATCTTTTAATACTACATAGGATCAACGTGGGCAACATCCTGGGACCGCTCTCACCTGGGCCCTTTTTTTACAAGGTCCCAATTATTATTTTTAAAACACTTTAATATTTTTTTGAAAATTTAATTTGTTCCAAAAAAAAAAAAACCTCTTGTCCTATTATATTTTTTATGAAAAAAATATTATATGCTTAAATTTTTTTGAACTCTCAATTTTTAAACGCAACTCTAATAATATATTAATTGATCTAAATCAGTAAAATATTTTAATAATTTATTTTATTACATAAATGCAAAAAAACGGAGCATTTATTTTTCCCTTTATATAGATTTTACTTCGGAACTGTTTTTTTTTTTTTTTGTTGCTAATTTAGAGTTTTTTACTTATTCTTCATATATTTGAACTTTTAAAATGATGAGAGGGAGCCTCTCTTGGCCCAAGTTAACTATTTCTCTTCAAACCATGCCAGGCTTTGGGGGAGGGGTTTCTCTTCACAACATGAAGTATATAATCTGGTCTAAATTCGGCCCTTCCTGGCCCATGATCGCCTCAGGTCTAATTTGGTGGTCTTTTGTTTCTTAGTCACAAAATCGCTTACTCGCCTAATTAAATATATTAATTGGTGTATTGGCACAGTATGTATTTTATGTTAAACATGTAAGATATAAAAATTATTATATTATAATTTATATTAACATATTAAATACAAAATATATTTTTTAGTTTTTATCAAATTCATATATTATTTTTGTTAAAATTTTTATATCGTATCACTTTTATATTTTTTTGTTATTATCATATTATCATATCATGTTTAAAATTAATAAATCTACAAATAATCACCAAAATTTTAATACAAGCTGAAAATAAAAGGAATATAATTTTTTTTATATAAAAAAACTGTAGCTTGAGAATGAAGAAAAAAGATTGCACGTAATGTAATGGGATTTGCATGGTAGCTCACATTTTGCTAATGTAATTTATTAACAAAAGGTAAATCATTGATGATGAGATGGATGGCACATGGAAAGTGTGGGTTTTTTTGTTAGAATAAGAAGTCCTGACTAATTTAATTCAGTTTGTGAGCACGATTAACCCCTCGAGCCGTTAATCCTACCCTTGAAATCAAGCATGCTTTAACATCCTGCACAAAGTTGTGAATTTCAATGGGGAATTGAATGGATCTTGGCCTTTATAAATCATTAAAATGAGGTGTTGCTTTAATAGCAGTCATATATGTGCCTCTTTTTCTTATTATTTTCAGTCCTTTTTTGCTTAACTTTTGATCAATTGTATAATAATGAATTTTTTAGAATATTAAATTTACCACATGATGAATTCGGGTTTATTGGATTCGGCTATTTTGGCAAACCCAATTGATTCTGTTGATTTGAATCAGGACAACATAACACTTAGCCCTTAGAGGAAGATAATCAACAATCAAGTCCAATGTGTTAAAACTGTATTGTTTTCAATCCTTTCTGATTTGCAAAGCATAAAAATTGTGCAAACACAAGTGAGAATAGAAAATAAAAACATGAATAAAAGACTCCATAACTTAGTCTTCCAGATCTTAAACATACATCCACTATCCAAAACTCTTTTCCCTTTTTTCATTCATGAGTCATGGCCAATATCTATGGCACATACTCTTCTTGGCTCTCCTGGTACTCTTCCATGGGGTTGACCTCATTGGAGTTCTCTGTATTTCCGTAGTAACCTTCATTTTTAGTAGTTTCCTTACCTGACGACTCGTATCCATTAGGATAATAGTTCCCATTCTTCACATCATAATAGTACTTACCACCCTCCACAAATCTGGTATCACTCATTCCTTGTCTCTCTGTCTCATAACCATTGTTGTTGTAGTTGCTGAGGGTGTAGCCATTGTTGTTGTAGTTGCTGCTTGTGTCGCCATTGCTGTTGTAGTTGCTGAGGGTGTAGCCATTATTGTTGTATTTGTTGTTCTCATAGCCCGTCTCATATTTTTCATCAGCAAGTTCTTCAGCCAAAAGATCATTTTCGAAAGTGGTAGGAGTGTTGCTAGTGCTGACAGTCTTCTTTACAGGAGGGAACATGCCAGAGCCCTGACCATAAAGGCCATGATAAGGATCTAATTGGCCCTCAGAGTTAGCCGGCGCTGGTGCTGGAGATGGTGTAGGTACCTCTTGAGGAGAAATTTTGCCCCCAAGGTGGAAGATCTTGCTAAAGAACATGCTTTCCCTAGCTCGAATCTGGACAGAGGAGGATAGCACTAGAAGGAAGAAAAAAGTAATGTGCTTTGCAAGGGAAGCCATGATCAGGAAAATAGAGCAAGGGGAAATAGTAATAGTATAGTACTCTAAGTTGATGGAAAGCTCCAATATTTATTAAGTTCTTTTATAGACTTAGTTGCTCTGCTGATGACCGGGCACTTATGCGCGGATTAAGGAAAGCGAAAGATGCGGGGAAGAAAATAATGATAACAAATAGCGCATACAGCATGTGCATTCCATGAGAGTGTCGGCACCTAAAATCTTTGTTTTGATCTCATCCGTCAAAAAGGTACATGCTTATTTTAATTTCTTTGATTTTGTTGAATCAGGCTCCTCTCTCTTTGCTTTTCATCAAAGGGTGGTGGGGAAATGAAAAATGGGGTCCTGTCAGTTAAGTTAGGTATCTACAAGACAAAAAGTCGAAACTGAAAATCTCCCCTCTTCTTTTTTTTTTTTTTTTTTAAGATTATCTTATATAGAGGTAGAGGATAGTTAATTTCTAGGTTGATTAATTAACATGTATTTAAAAGTAAATGCAACGGTGATGATGAAATTTGGTAAAACAATCAACAATGTCACTAAAAATAATCAGTTGTCATAATTAAAAGTCCTCTTCATTTTTAATTTTTATACTAAACATTCGACCCACTCAACTGAACCCTTTACCTTCCTGTTTCCAATTAAAGGGGGCAGTGCGTTTGAGAGCAATGAAATACAATCCAAATGCCATGCATTTGAATTGTATTACATTGGAGATGCAATGTAATCCAAATAGGGCATTAGTGGGTGTGGCACTTGAAGGCAGGCCTTGAAACAATATTCTTGTAGTTCTTTCTTCTGATTTGTTCAGATTGATTCAAGAAGATTTTTTTAGATATAACTAGGTCAAGGGCGTATACATGTAAGCGTTTTTAATCATTTCTTAGCATAAAAAAGAAAAAGTAATATTATTATTGCTTTGACATCGGCATGCTATCTTTAGCTTACCCTATAATAATTCAAGGAACAAGGAATTATGTAACATGCTACATCCTTCTTTTTTTTTGTTTTTGTTTTTTTTTTTTTTCTCTTTTGAAGTACTGAGAAATGCATATAGAATGATTTGGTATTATAATTGATGAATGAAAATTATTATGTTTGATGAGTTCAAATGTTCTCCGAAGATGGGAATTAACAATATTCCTTTGATTTTAAATAATTTTCCAGACTTGAGCCTTTCTTCTATTTGCAAACACTTAAAGAGCAATGTAGACACATGAAACGAAATGTCGTTTGCATTTATGGCTTTAAATCATCATTCACATATTTTTGAGAGTGCATCCAATTATGAACCGCTGAAAACCAATATTTAGCTTCATGATCATCAATCTCATTTTTAGTCTCTGGCAAAGGTTTATAAAATGAGATGATTAGTTGGAAAAGACATGTTTGGTTTGGTACACTCCAGTGATTAAATAATTTCTTTAAGTAATGTTAAAGGAAGAACTTTAGCTGTTCAATTTGTCGGCGTGATGTGCGGAAGCTTGAAATTCAAGTCCCATAACATAATATTTTTCCACTTTTTGACCTGTTTCAGGTAAGTGAAGATTTTGAACTTTTTATCTTCTCCAGAAAAAGAAAAAATAATAACAATAAAGTGTGCTCCTCCTTGAACAGTTGGGAACAACGTTTGCGGTGTGTCCAGCCCTTCAAGGATTCTCCCAGGCTTAAAATGGGATGGGCCAATGTTTATGATCTAAAACTCCTAGCATATAGTGAGCTGGGCTTATTTTTAAGAGTCAATGTTTTGGGTAAATATTCTGAGCATCCATGGCCCAAACTATATGTTTAGATTTTCGTTCGGCTCCGTTAATGAACGATTGCTTATGAAGAAATTATTGACTCA